GAAAGAGGGCAGGGAGACAGGGAACATCATGGTGGTTGCCAGCACGGTTGCCAGGAATGCAGGACAGGCATGGGAGGGCAGCGTGGTGTGGTGCTGGGAAACCCCCAACTGTGTTTGCCAGCCAGAGCGGTTGCACGAGCTGCCTCCTCTGGGGCTGGGATGAAAACGGGCCTCCCTGTGCTCCAGGATGGCAGGTCCACCAGCGCTGAGCACAGAGCCAGGCGTGCAGAGCCATACAGGGCTGTGTCCCGGCGGGGCGAGAGCCCCTGGCTCCAGGCAGGGGAGCAATGAAGCCTGTCAGAGGTGCTGGTCCTGCTCTGCAGCCTGGCTCCAGCTCCTGCCATCTGGGATGATCCATAAGCTGCAGGCCTTAGCGAAAAGAAGGGAGTTGCGCTGCTAGACAGAGACAGAGCCGGGTGGCTGGCTGTTGCTGTTGCTTTCGGAGGGGGTCTTGGCAGTGGAGGAGGTGGCCGTTGAGCCGCTGTTCCTGAAGATGCGGAGCAGCCTCCGCTTGTAGCCTCGAAAGGCAAAGAAGTAGATGATGGGGTCAATGCAGCAGTTGAAGTTCATGAATGCCACGGTGACTTGCAGGGACATCTTGAAGGCTTGCTGCTCGCGGCAGGACGGCTGGGAGCAGATGAACTGGACGATGTTGAGGTGGTAGGGACTGAAGCAGAGCAGAACGGCCAGAAGCACCACCAGGATGACTGTGAAGGCCCGGCGGTGGTGCCCATTCTTCACTGTCAGCGGGTTCTCCTTGGCCGTCTGGCAGAGCTTGAGGTTGATCCTCACATAGCACACCAAGATGATGCCCACGGGCAGGAAGAAGCCGAGCACGCAGGCCCCCAGGAGCAGATAGGGCAGCTTGGGAATCTCCTCAAAGTTGAAGTACTCCATGCACGTCAGCTTGTCTCCCATCCTTCGCGTCATGGGCCGCAGAAGCAACGGTGCCGTCTGCAGGAACACCAAGGACCAGATGAGGACGCAGATGCCCCTGGCACGGCTCATCTTCCGGATCCTGCCAGGGTGCCTGGTGCGCACCACGGCGATGTAGCGGTCCACACTCACGCAGGTCATGAAGTAGATGCCCACATAGGTGTTCATGTAGAAAATGAAGGCTGTGGCCCGGCAGAACCAGTCCCCAAAGGGCCAGTCAAACTCCAGGATGTAGTAAGTGATCCTGCCTGGCAGCGCCAGCGTGAAGAGGGCATCGGAGAGAGCCAGGTTCACCAGGTAAAGATCGGTGGAGTTGAGTTTCTTCTTCCTGCGTTGGAAGGTGATGCAGAGGGCCAAGATGTTCCCGCAGGCGCCGAACACCAGCAGAGTGGTGTAGAAGAGGGAGAAGGTGACTTTGG